CTTTCCTTATACCTATTGTGCTGGTAAAAGGTATTGTTTGACTGATCCATCTCCACTCCCACTTGCCCTATACAGACATTCTTGCTCTTTATACAATGGCATTTGCCGGTGGTGTTAGAAATTGCCACTGCCCAGTGCGTATCATACCCCTCTGAAGAGTGTCTCAGTGAGTCAGTGTCTGACGCTGACATAAACTGACAATGCGGCAGTATTTGATGTGTTTGACTGTGGCCAGGAATAGCGCAGATCAGTGTGTATTATACCTCTGTGAACGTGCCTCTGTAGCAGTGGTATTTGACGAGTTGGAGAGAACAGGCTGATTTTTCCTCTTACCTGTGGTGTTGTTTATTAATCTAGATTGTTATGGTGTGGGTTGCAGAGTGTTGGAGCTATTGGCCATAGAGATGTCTGACTTCTCTCCAAAATAATGGAGCTATATGTAACTCAAAGTGCCAAAAGAAAAAAACCCAACAAACATTTAAATACTCAGCAGCAATATCTCTCTCCAGAAATCATGATTTGGTTACTCAAGATAATCCTTAGACCTTGATGTGAGAAGTTTCATGTAGGAACTATTTTCTTTCTACCAAACTACACCCGCCTACCCTATCACAATGCAGGACAAAGCGTGCTGCTGCTCATGGACAAGAGGCTCGTGCTTGAGATGTAAAGATTAGAAGGTGTCCTCCTCGGCTGAGCTGTAATATTAGCTAGCTCAGTGACTCGAGGTAAGCTAGCAGTAGTTGCATGCTTGAGGCATTTCTATCAAAACCACAAATATGAACCTCATGGTGGCACTGTAATATAAAAGTTGCTGGCTAAAAAATTCCAAAAACTATCAGTTGAGCAAGAAGTAGCAGTGTGACCAAACAAATTGACTCAAGATCCACCAATACGCTTGCACGCAGGTAAACAGTCCACGTGGAGGGTGAAAGAGGCTCCAGATGCATTCTCAGAACCCACTGGCTATTGTCTGACCATGATTTAGCTTGTTATTAGTTAATTGGCTGGCAATTTGTGGAACAATCCAGTCATTGACTTTGTTTTACAACTCTTCTCACGTCTCAAGTTGCTAATCAGACTGTAAAAAATGACCTGCACACAAATGATAAAGTCTTGGCGTGGATAACAGCTTGCAACACTGGAACTGAGGTTTTTTTTCCTAAGATGGCGAAGGCATTAACTTCCTTACTCAGCCATCCTCTGCCTTTAATTGGTTCACATAGACATTTTTACTTTAGTGCTCACCAGTCTTACTTTTCATGCCCAAACCTAACCAGTCCAACTATCAAGGGCAATGGGTACTAGCCAATTAGAGGGAGAGTGGGGCAGTTCATGTCTTCACCATCCCAAACAAAATATTTGGCATGTTGGAACCCCTGAAATATTTACAGCTCTCCCAGAGGCTAAATTGTTGTCAGACTGATAGCCTATAGGTTCAGAGATTATGGAACAACCAACTGAGTTATCTCCATCCGCTGAAGAAGCTGCAAGATGTGGATGATAGATGTGGGGAAAAAGCTAGTCTATGCTGATGTATTTACTAATATTATATGTTAAAATCATTTTTGTAGCAGTCATTTGTAACAGTTGTCAGGCTGACAGAAGCTTCACATCAGAAAATGCACAAATGTGTTGTTTCTGGCAAGGAACTCACAAAAAAAAAGTATTTAGTTGCTTTTTCTTGGAAGATTCCGGACATCGAAAAAAGTATTGTACAGTTTTTTGAAATATTACCCAGCTGTAAACACAGCTCTAGCTCTGATGTATTTACTCCACTGGGAGTAGTGATTTTTTCTTTTGGACTGAGAGTCAATAAGATCCATAACACCTTGTTTTGTTGCCATCTGGCCTCCGAGCAAATGAATGAGGGGCTAAGTAGCTTTCAGCACCTTCTTCATCCCCACTACAGCAGCTAGCCAGCAGCAGCAGCAGGCAATTTAGCTCTGTAATGGATTTAGTGGTTGGCCTAAAAGACACTTTCACTTATCAGGGATTGGATTATGGTACTCTTGCTTCACTTTTGATCGCCATTAGCCAATCTCTCTGCTCCGGTGTGATCTGTGGGTATTTGGTGTCGTAAAGGGGAGAAAAGTATACTTGTTTGTACAGTCAACATACCCTCATTTATTTTTGCGTGTGTGTATTAGGATCTGCAAAGTGTTTCTGTCCTGGACTACATACGGAAATCACCTGTCAGGACAAGTTGAGTTCTTCACATCAGATTATGATTCACCTTTCTCTCTCTTTCTTCTGACAGCATCCTTTTTGCAGACATTGTGGGTTTCACCAGCTTGGCTTCTCAGTGCACTGCTCAGGAACTGGTCAAACTGCTCAATGAACTTTTTGGGAAGTTTGATGAACTGGCTACAGTAAGTGCTCTCCTTTCCCCCCCACAGCTAACCCTTAGTTCATTTGCTTCATCATGAAAATGATATTACATGCACAGTGTGATCACTATGCATCCATATCCATAGATTCATCCAGAGACGTGTTTCTGGCCACCTGATAAATTAAGCCAAATATTTATTCTCCTTTTAGCTCTGTTTCTGGTCTCCAGCAACTCCTGAGGGAAATATGCGGCTTGTTAGCTGTACATGCTCCTCGATGTTCAGCAGCGAGAGGCAGGCAGGTAGCATACATTGGGTTTAGAGTATGTTTTTATGCTGCCTGCCGCTAGAAACTAAGTTGATAACAGTGCAAAGACTAAAGCAAAACATGGGCTGAAATGAGCTGAAAGATGCTCTGTAGGGCTGAAGGGAACTGCAACCTTTTCACATTACACACAGTGATTTCATCTATTGCTCAGTGATTATAGCAGTGGGAGTAGGCAGAAATCTGGAAAAAAATAACCACATCAGAATTTTAAAAAATCACCCTCTTCCTGCCACTCCCCCCTCTTCCCTCTCTGTCGTAAATACCTCCTGAAAGATAACCACAGGCATATGCCAGTGCATTATACAGTAATTCAGTATTTCCCATACATTGATTTATTTAGCCTTATTTCATTATAGAGCTGCAGGCAGTGCATTGATTCACTCAGCCCCTTTTCCCCCCTCTCTCTCTGTTCATCAAATGAGATATGAATTAGCTAGCCACCTCATGGTCCCTCCGCTTCACTCCTCACTACTGTGGATTGCTTCGCTGTGAGGAGAGTGGGCAGCTAGTGTCCCAGGCAGCACCGGGTCTAACCTGTGTAATGGCAGCAACAGAAAGTTTGCTGATCTGGCAGAGAGTCAGGGTTGTCCAGTCCTTGAGCTGCAGTTTGTGTTACCTCAATTTGGGCTGCTGCAGCCGCTGATTGCCTCTGGAGCTGCTGTCCGCTCTCCTCCTAGCGAGCCTGTTTGTAGCGGCGAGGAGTGAGGTGGAGGACACACTTTAATTTGACATTAGCTTAATGTTAGCTACATGGAACTGCAGCTATGAGCCTTTCGCTCCGGTTTGCAATAGGCTAAACTACTGGCTACATTTTCTCTCCATCTCTGAAACACTTGACTAATATTAAAACATTTTTTTATTTTGTTAATTGTGAGACTCTCTTTAAGGCTCTCTTTTTGATACGTCTGGTTTCCTTTTTTGGGTTGCTTTGCAGTGCAGGGAATTCTTTACCAATGCTGGATGCGCATGCATCTGCATTTATAAAACAGCCGATAGGAAAACCCTCTCTCTGAAATGACCAGTGACCAGGTTATGTCCTAATTAAACAAACCTTGTCTGTGTTGTTTGGTGTGATGCTAGCAATGTTTGTAAGTGCCCTAAAACATATCTTTGGGTGTACTGTAATTTCTTGTTACTTTCTTTCCTCTTCTTTTTATTGATATTTAATGAGAATTGTTGGACGGAGCCTGAGATCTAAGATTTTCATTGCCAAGGACAGCTTCTCTGTAACTGTTGTGGCTCAGACAATAAATAACTTGAAACTTATCTGAATACGCTGATACTGATATTATTAATGTATTGGTCAAGCTCTAGTGTATTTGGTCTTGTTAGGTGCAAAACATGGTGCAACTTACACAGAAAAGTGGGCAGATTTAAATTATAGCCTCTGTTATGAAATGTTGTTGAGCCATCACAGCGAGGGAGGGAGGCAGGCTGGCTGCAAGGACTTTTAATAGTTGGTTGGCCTGTTATTTGTCTGAAACACAAAAAGCCTCCAAGAAAATGAAATGTATTATTTAGTCTTGGAGCTCATTTATTATGCCAAGTCATATATTGATCCAATAGTGTAAGTAAAGCTTGAAAGGCTGACTGATGTGGAGGAGGAGGAGGAGGAGGAGTAGGAGGAGGAGATGGAAGAGAAGGAGATGAAGGTCATGAAGGAGAAAGAACTGGAAGAGATGAGTGAACGGATTTTTAGACAGAGGAGAGATAAGGTCTGAGGAGGTGGAGTGTCTCTCTGTATGTGTGTATCTGTGTGTGTGTGTGTGTGTGTGTGTGTGTGTGTGTGTGTGTGTGTGTGTGAGAGAGAGAGAGAGAGAGAGAGAGAGAGAGAGAGAGAGAGAGAGCACTACTAGGAGTACTGCACTTGATAAAGACAGAGAGAGTGTGTATGGTAGTACACACTTTACACTGTGTGTCAGTAAGCCTGCGTAGCGTTGTTCTCCGGGAAAGAAGATTAGGTGAGTGATAGGTTATCTGCCGGCAGACTACTATCATATTAATACTGCATGAGACACACACACACACACACACACACACACACACACAGAGAGTTAAATAACCCACATGCTGCAGCTGTGAGAAATAGTATTACGCAAAACGTTTGTAGGTCCACTTGCCAGCACTGATGCTTTCTACCACATCTCATGGTCTTCATCAGCTTCATCAGATGGAGGTGGCTCAGTTTTTATCACTGCATGACCTACAGCCAAGTGTGTGACTCTGGTCAGATGATAACATGTGGTAGTATGTTCAAAGATTATCTCTGTCATATTTCTCTGAGCAAACTCAATGCACTAATGAAGACTGTGAGATGTGGTTGACTGAGTGCCCCAGATAGGTATCCCATGTAGACCTTGAGTTAAGATTGTTTTGTCAAACTCTAGAGTGCTGAGCCAAATTCAACCAACACCAGTCAAAGAGAATTATCACAAACACTGCAACTGCAAGGAGCTTTTTAGCTTCAATGAGCTCCTCGCTTTGTTTGTTATGCACATTTATGCTTTAGTGTCTCTGGGCTCTCATCAATGTTTTTAATCATGCAGGTTACAAGCTCTGATAAATGTACTGTACACCACCTGCCCAGCACCAAACAGCTTACAGACACAGTTAGTAACCAGCTGGTTGGTTGAAAGTGGAAGTGGAAAGTGGAACATTTAGCAGCTAAGAAACCAGGTATTTTTCCTCAGGAGTCTGGAGACCAAACCAGAGCTAAATAAAGAGAGAGTACTGGACATCAGGTGGACATAAAAACAACTCTAAGGGGATGATAATGTTGGATAATATAATCTGTCTGTTTAATTTGATGTTTTTCTGCCTCCTTGTGGCCAAAAATAGATGAATGCAACTTTACAGATGACTAAATTTTGAAATTCTTGACATGTAAATAGGTAATTGTTTGCAAACATGTTAACCATGGATGTATAAAGTGAACTGGATACAGCAGAGGAGGCAGGGCATATTCATTTCTATGTAGTTGCTCAGTGTTGCATGAAGCTGAAAAAAGTTCAACTGCTGCACATAAGATTACCTGGATGATTGGGACTGCTTCTGCACTGTGCGACCCAGAGAGAAGGTGCACTGGAGACTTCCTTCCAGTTTAGTGCTCCATTAACTTGAATGAGGATAAAATGATTCAATCTTGGGTTCTGCAAGACTTACTAGTCAAATGAGCTATTTCCCAGGGCTTGTGATGCTCAAAAAATGTATCCTCTGATCTACAGACGTGTTTTTTGTTGCCATGTAAGTCTATGGAAAAAAGTCTCTTTGGGCCACAGGGCATCACGTGACGGATGGAATTCCCCTGTTAGGCCACTACAGAAATTGGCTTCAAAGTCCAGCACATGCTGGGAACCTGATGTTAACCTCTGCAACTTTCTAAAGGAATCATATGTCAGGGATGTGTGTCCAGTTAATTAATGCAGCTTTAACATCAACAGTAAAAGTGCTTAAACAGCTGAAATTGTTGTTACTTTACACTGTATTGCAATTAACTGACTATGAGTGTTTTCCTTGTTTTAGTTTTGTGACAGATTTGGAGTTTGAATCATTTATCTATTTAGATATTCGTTCAAATGATAACAATTTCTCTAATATATTCATAATTCTAAGAATAATGTGCTTGTGTAGAGCGTTGTTAAAATCTTAGAACACTGAAGTATTTCATAAAATTCACAGGGTTACATTTTAAACATGTCAAGTTTAACCTGTTATCATTTCCAGGTTGTCAAATACCATTGCTTTGTCACACCCCTCTGCGTCTGATAGCGACGCACAGGGCAGCCTTTAACACCTCTGTGACGCACAGCTGAAACACACTGTAACATGTGGTAAATTTTAGGTGTAGGCAACAAAAGTACTTGGTTACTTTTAGAGCAAAAATCATGTTTTAGAATAAAATAAGTCATTGTTATGTAACATGATGTAAATATGCCACGTGAGTGATGTCAGTGTATGATGATGTGTAAATTACATAAAACAAGGGTGGCCTTTGATTTCACACAGGACATGAACTGTGATCTCCTGGGTGAAAGTCCAGTTGTTTGACCCATCTACCTCCCCTCCCCTCCCATACACTAGAGTTAGTTGAAGCCTGACTCATCGCATAAAGATGCCAAAGGGTGTCAATATTACACGCTGAGGGTTGTGACAAAGTGTTGGTATTTGATGGATTGGGGATGAGAACTGGCTGCAAATTCATGGTATACATAGATGCACATATGCCAGTGTTGCTTTAAAAGTAACCTCTGATTTTCACATGAGATGTTTCTTTTGAAATTTTATTTATCATATAATGATTTTAGTGATTTTCAATTACTATGTTGTGATCATCAAATAGATCTTATCTCTCAAGAGCTTTCTGATGACAGCATAAAAGCCAATCTTTTCCATAATGTCGGTTACACCACATTCACACCAAACGATCAGGGTGCCACTTGCCTGACCTCTTCTCTTCAGACAGTTTACTCTCTGCTTTCTACATGCACACACACATATACACACATAAAAGTCACATGATCAGCGGGATTATCCCTCTTGAGTTCATTCTGCATCTCAGCAATCAGTCATGGCTTAACGCAGGGAGAGAGAGAGACAGAAGGGGGGGAGAAAGAGCAAGATACAAGGTGATATGTGGCTTGCTATCAGTGCTCCAGCACTCAGAAAGCCATTATATGGAAATCGTGTGATGAGGATATATTGTGTGCATGTGTGTGTGTGTGTGTGTGTGCGTGTGTGTAGCTGCAGCTGCATCCTAATTGAGATTTATGCCCCGTCGTGTTAGCGAGGGAGAAATTCACTTTCAAACTGGCTCTGTCGCAGCAACTGAGCCTGTCTGACTGCTGTATGCTACACAACACATTTATTCCCCCGCAGGCTCAACCTAAACTTAACCATTACAGACACATACGCCTAACTTAACCCTAACTTTCACATAACCATAATGACATTCATCAAGCCAAACTGCAGACATTGATTTTGGCCCCAATTAGACAAACTGTCCCCAATCAGATGGTTTAAAATAAATCCCAAATTTGTCTCCAAAATCACACACAGATACCTCTCTCCTGGAACATGGCTTTCTGTAAGCTGATCTCTCTCATTTCTGTTCTCACACACACACACACACACACACACACACACACACACACTCCATTTCTCTTCCTAGCGCTGGGATAATCATCCACGTTGAATTCTCATATCCTCCCACGCCAGAATCTTTCTGCTCCCGTGAGCAGAAAACCAGAGCACCCCGTCTCCTCTCTTCTCATCTCCGCCTCTTACCCTGCAGTTGTCATGAATCCTCTGTATTTGTGTGTGTTTGTGTGTGTGTGCATGCGTGTGTGTGTGTTTGTCACTCAGAGGCTGCCTGCAGGCTAAGCTTTGTAGGGTCTACCGTTACGATTTTCTGATGACTGTGAGTGATACAGAGCCAAATGGAAACCCTGTGTGCCACCGAGCCGAAGTACCTGTACAGTATGTTTGCATGTAAGTGTGCTGCTGTTTGTGCTTTTCTGCAGGTGTGTTTGAGTGTGAGTTCATGTGATGTGATGGTGTGTGTGTGTGTATTGGTGTTTGTGTCATCGTTGCGGAGTTTGTGCACAATGTGCACTGTGACAAATAGCTGATCTGTCTGGGAATGTGTGGGAGGGATTCTACTTCAAGAGCATGTCGGAGCAATTAGAGTTGGCCTCAACTGCACACACACACACGGTTGCACAAGCACACACATCTGATTTACATGAGCAGAGAAGCAGCTGAAGCATCCATGCCGCTTCTGTACAGTCAGATCTCGTGTAAGAGGAGTTAAATACAGTCTGTCTTAATGTTACGCGTGAGTAACTTTCAGCTGTTAGATGTAGAAATGGTCTACAGATGTGCATCATGAGTTCAAACTTTTGCTTCTATCCCAAGAGAGACTATTTCAGTTTTGCTTTTTATCAGCAGAAGAAAAGGTTTAAAAATAGCAATGGTCCTGTCATAATCAATAACTGGTGAGGCACTGAAGCATTTTTAAATCTGTGATCCAGATCCAGAGAATTGGATCCTACTATGTATGATATACGATGAGGTCGACTGTTAAAAACAAGACTATGAATCTGCAGCCATGCTAGTGGCTCTGTGTACTTAGCATGTACTTAGGTACAGCTATGCTTTGTGCTAAATGGTAATGTCATGATTCTGACATGCTCATAATATCAGTGCTAACCTGCTTATGTTAAGCAGGTATAATTTTTCACCATGTTCAACATTTTAGTGTAGCATATAAGCATGCCAGTTAAAACATATGGAAATGTAAAGTGTTCTGCAGGTATTTAATTATAAACCATAGTACTGGAGCAATTGAAATTTTAACCTGGTGGTGATAATTGAGGAAAAATTAGGGGATCACCAAACTTATTACAATTAGCCAAGAGTGTAATGGTTCAGAAAATTTGAATTTTGGTTCGAATCAGATCTTTTCAGTACAGCAAAAAAATAGAAATGCTGGAGAACTTTCCTTGATTTTTAAAAGTTTTGACTTCATCATTATGAAGTATAAACTTATTTGATTTTGAGCAATGATGGAGTTAAACCTTAGTGACCAATCTCCTGGGGTGTCTTCATAACAGCATCTAAAACAAAAACAACTCCTTATAGAATATTAAATGTAGTAGGCCATTGTTCTTATAAACAAACGCAAACCAAAAAAACAACTCTGTTTCTCCAGTGTCAGAGAAATTTCCCCCCTGCCCCTTTTTCTTTTTAACATTTTTAACTGTTTTAAAACCAACATTATAATTATGGTCTGGCTGAAATGGTTTTTGAGGGAATATTGTAACAGGGCTCAATTACATTATGCATGTTTGTAAAGCCTGTGTTTTCCTCTACACAAATGGGTATCCATGGCTTTGAATTTACCAATCCCCTTGGTGATTTCTTTTGCCCTGTCAGAATCAGTTGGAAATGGCTGCCTCAATGCTGTGGAAATATCTTTAGCTTGTAGCTTGTTTTGCTCCTTGTTTTCGTCTAGTTCCACGTACTGACACACTGGGTTGAATTTGGCATAAATGAGTTGACATGTTTGAAGTATTCCCACTGATGTAACTTACAGTCTTACAGCAGATGCAACATACCGTTGTTTTGGTTTTTGGCTCCAAACACCAGACCTGTTGGTGATTGGAGAATCTTCTGGTCTGATAATGGCTTTACTAACAATACTGCAATGAGCTAGCTTAGCATGGCTTACCTTCCAGTGTGTCTCACTGGAGTAGAATGTTATAGTTTGGGGATGGGAGGGACAGACAGCGTGTTGCCTGTTTCATCGTGTGTGCTACCTTGTTGAGCACAATGGCACTAAGAACACATAAACACACTTAAACACATTTGAAACTGTATATTTCATTTTCCATATGTAATAGGATTAGTTCAATGGATGATTTGGTGTATTGTGTACTGAATAGAAAGCCTTGTAACAAACAGTTCAATATGAATACGTATATTTTTACACCCCTAAATTAGCCTAATCCTGAACCTTATTTCAAGGCAATCCATCCAATAGTTGTTGAAATGTTTCAGTCTGGACCAAAGTATTGGACCATCTCAAGAACGACTTATTGCCATTGTAAACAGTGAAAGCACATCTTTATTATAACTGACATTCTGATGGACTTCAGTAGGTTGTTTCGGATTATCATCTGTCCGTCTCTTTCTTTGTGTCCATCTGTAGGAGAATCACTGCAGGCGGATAAAGATCCTGGGAGACTGTTACTACTGTGTGTCAGGACTGACCCAACCCAAGGCGGACCACGCCCACTGCTGTGTGGAGATGGGACTGGACATGATTGACACGATTGCGTGAGTCACAAACACACACACACACACACACACACACACACCTACATCCTCTCTTTAACATCCATCTGGGCGCCCACACATCTGTCAGGTCAACACATGAGGTTCAATCTCATCTCCATGAACAGGGTGACTTGAAAAGGAATTTGCCGTTTATTAAAACTGTAAATTAGAATTGATAACTAACATAAGTGGGAGTTTTTTTGTTTTGCTAAAACTGCTGTTACCTCCAATAAGAAACTTTTCAGTCCAGTCTGTTAGCAGAAATTCATCAGTATTTCCAATCTTTTTTAATTTGCCATTTTTTGATTGCTCTTTACGTACTTTTTTATATTAAGAGCCTAACAGGAAGTGCTGACCTCTCTGCAGCTGGCAGTGCAGATTTTGTACTCGAAGGGACAGTTTACACCAAAATCCAGAAATACATAATTATAAATAACTTGTTCTCATGCCAACTTGCAGATACCACCGCTTTGTTAGTGGACCTAAACATGAAAATATGACACACTAGGTACCCTCCTGCGTCAGTTTTAGATGTTCATGGTTGGCGTTTCAACTGATGCTTGTTACATGGATTGTGTCTTTTCAAAAAACATTTCTGTTTTCACAGGAAATGTACAGTTTCTGCTCGTTACTTGCATACAGACTTTTCAAAATAAACTTACTACGTAGGTAAAACACTTTTTTTTACGTATATATTTACTTAATATTAGGCAATAAAGTTCCTGGTTAGGTTTAGTAAAAAACATCATGGTCTGGATTAAAATAAGTATGGTTTTTATGAACATAATGTAACATCATGTGACGTGCCTTACCAGTGTGCCATGCTATACATACTAGCACACTGTGTGGTTATTAAATTAACTCGACAGCCACAGCTGTTTCAAGACACTCTGGGGGCCCCAGGCAAGAGGCATCTTGGAGCCCCCCCCGTACTCGCCTGTAGAGCTCTGTAGAAAACAAATCACTGTAAGTAAGTAAGTAAGTAAATTTTATTTATATAGCACTTCTCAAGATAAGATATCTTCACAAGATAAAATACAAAAAATACAATAACAGAAACAATGCAAAAAATACACAAAAACAAATAAAAAGTAAAGTGCAGCGAAATACAGAAATGATACAATGGACAATTAATGGAACACAAGCCTAAACACATGTGTTTTTAGCTGCTTTTTAAAAATGTCCAAAGAAGAGGCCGCTCTCAGCTCATGAGGTAGTGCATTCCACCATTTTGGTGCAACAGCCTTAAAGGCTCTATCACCTCTCGTTTTTAATCTTGTGTGAGGGACAGTAAGTAGGTGGCCTTCAGTGGACCGCAGTGACCTGACAGGACAGTGAAAGGACACCAGATCCGTCAAGTATGCAGGTGCTTGACCATGGAAAGCTCTGTAAGTGATGGTTAGAATCTTGTGCTGGATCCTGAAATTAACAGGGAGCCAGTGCAAGGATGCCAGGACTGGAGTGATGTGAGTGAACTTATGAGATCTGGACAGAAGCCTGGCGGCAGCGTTCTGGACCAGTTGGAGGCGGTCTAATGAAGTTTTATTTAGACAGGTGAAAAGAGAATTACACTAATCCAGACGTGAGGAAATAAAAGCATGGATGATCATTTCTAGCTCGGAATAAGTTAACATGGATCTGAGTTTGGAAATGTTTTTGAGGTGGAAAAAGCAGGAGCGAGTGACAGTTTTGGCCTGATCAAATGTGACCCCAAGGTTTCTCAACTTGCGGCGCACATTAGCACTGAGGGACCCTAAGCAGCTGGCCACTTTAGATGCTGAGGCGTCAGGTGCAATAATTAAAATCTCAGTTTTAGCTGCATTCAACTGAAGGGAGTTAGTAGCCATCCAGTCCTTAATTATATTCATACAATCGTACAGTGAGTCAATTCCATCGGTCCTATCAGGGTTAAAAGAAAAATATAACTGGAGGTCATCTGCATACATATGGTATGAGATACCTTCAAAATTACTGACAACTGCCAATGGATTGGACTTCTCCGTCACCGGTAAGCCCTTATCTTGTGCTGTATTTGACAGGAATACAGCGTCTGTGACCCCCATTCAACCCACACAATTGATGTAGCATATAAACAAATCTAACCTACAAGTAAAAAGAAATAAATAGTAACTTTCACTGCTTAAAGATACTCAGTAGCTCAGCTAATACCTGAAATGTCACTGGAAATCAAACCACCGCAGCAGCATATTGAGTGCCAGGTGGCCAGCACACGCCGTTATAAGACGGCGCATGGACACTCACCCTCTTGCAATTGGACTTTGAACTTATCCCACAGTAGTGGTACCGTGAGGTACCGTAGTACTACGGTACTCCAGCAATGCTAGTGCAGGTGGCAACCAGTCATGTGGGACATGGTCTCAATTTGCGTGAAGCATGAAAAGAGACAGAAATGCTGTGCAGTCCCGCACAATGCAGGACGTCTGGTCACCCCACTTAGCCACTCATAAGCAGCAGCTAGTAGGGGGCCCCATTAGGGGGGATTCCAACATGTTGTCGTTGTTGCAGTGTCTATAGGGGTTCCATCATATTGTCATTGATATGGACCAATGTCAGCCGTCTCTGTGGGCCCCATTCCAGCGTGGGGCCCTAGGCAACTGCCTAGTTTGCCTGTCCGGTTGCGACGGCCCTGTCCGGTGCGTATCATACGGCTGCAAAAGGTCCCTCAGTATGTTGGTGTCTGACACTAAAATCATTGACAAAGCAGCCATATTTGATGAGTTGGGAGTGAGGACATGCTGATTTTTCCTCTTACCTGTAGTGTCATTTGATAATCTAATTTGTTTTGATGCGAGTTGCTGTTGGAGATATCTGTAGAGATGTCGGCCCTCTCTCCAGTATAATGGAACTAGACGGCACTTGGCTTGTGGTGCTCAAAGCACCAAACAAACAAACAAACAAAAAAAACAGTTATTTAAGATATGTAGGTACTATTTTCTCTCTACAGAACTATGCTGAGATAGTTAACGTTACAGCTGAGCCGAAGAAGACTCCATTAATGTTTACATCTTGTGCTGCTGATGACTAGATCTTCGCATTATACTGAATTTATTAAGACGATGGTTAAGCATGAACAAAGTTTTGAATTTGTCTTAAACAGAATTAGGAAGAAAAGCCAGTCTAAATCATAATATTCAAAATAAAGGCCTAGTCCTCTCTGCCATGAAGGTTAACAAAGTAAATTAAATTAATCTTTTTGAGAATTTAAAGTTTGGATTAGCACAAAAACATTTATTAATTTGCGCTTATTATTAAAAAGTGCAGCTTTGTTGCATGAATTTTGTCTTTAGTGCTTTATAGTCATGAATCAAATATGTTTGACTGTTTCCTGTTTGAGATTTAGATCAGCTTAAACTAGATGGAACATTTACTGTATTTCCCAGTTTTCTCCTGCTTGTTGCGGAACAAGCTGTCAAACATTTAAATTTACCTACAGTAACATCAACGTAACACACATGTACAGTAGTGGTTTTACGAGACATAAGAGTTTAGCAGCAAGAAGTACTTTTTGTTTGGACATGACAAAGCAATGTTGGGGACTTCCACAAGTTTTAATATTATTGACAGATAGATTCTGTAAACTGAGACAAATTCAATCTGTGACAATTTTGCAATCACAAAGATACACATGTAGCATACCCCCCACCAGCATGTTGACACACACATACACAGAGAGCCTTTACCTCATTTCCTTGTGCGAGCCCTCTCCTGTCATGTTCTTTCCCTGCTGCACTGTCTGAGTGGATGGATGCTGCTGTAGGAGTCCTTTATCTCAGAAGACAGGTGCTGCCATACACACTCATCATCCCTGTTTGTGTGTGTGTGTGTGTGTGTGTGTGTGTGTGAGAGAGACATCCCTCCTTCAGCCTGATGGGCAGACCACATTTTCTTTTCTGCCACCCTGTAAACATACACACAAACATCGTCTGAAGTGGCTGACCTTTCACTGGTGACCAGAAGCTTTATGTAGTGATTTAGTGGAGAGGAAGAGTCCTGCTCTATCTCCTGTGCGTCACAACACGGGGGAAGTTGAGATGGTCTGCACGTGTATGTACCTGTACATACATAAATGTAAACACTTTAGATGCAGGCATGCACGCACTCAAGTTTTTCCAGTTCAAAAGAAATTTTTATTTTGAGGATTCATTACATACATTAGTTATTTACACTGGATCAGAATAAAGTTGAAATGTTTCTTTCTTCCACTAAATGGGTCAGTGGGCCAGCAGATTGGCCACCTTGAGGAAAGGAAACCAGAAATGATTTGGACAGACTATATCTCCACCTAGACATGATAAAATGTTGTTTGAAAATTGGTAATATGCATAGCCCTAATGATCTAGCTCAGCATCAATGTAAACATGGTGATAGACAAGTCATAAACTCTAGTAAGTCAAGTCATTTCTAGGAAAACAGCAACAATACTAATAACAGTTTAACACCAAAATAAGCAGATGTATACCAGTTTTTTAAACCCTGGAAAACCTCCCTAAAATAGGGGATAGACTTCTGCTCTGTTCCATTGGCAGTAGACCATGTACACGGCTCTGCAATAGACAATGCATTTCTGTGTGTGTGTGTTTTTTCTTTTACTGGTGTGTCACATTCAATGTCTCAGATGGGCCAGAAAACAGGTTAGTAAATAGTAGATCGCAGCAAGGAGGCCTCTGAAAATGTTACAGTGGTTACTTCTCTTTTATATCTCTTACTTATTCAGTCTCGTTCTCAAACTCGGTGCAGAGTAATTTTGTACAATGTTCGAGAGTTGCTTGGATGGATACGTACAAGATTATGTGGCAAAGGAAAAGGGACTAAAATGAGCTTGTCCACCAGGGTGTTGTATTTATTTCTGCTGATCTAAGCCGATTGGAACTGGAGTCGATGAATACCCATGACTACTGCAAAGTCACTGGACCCAGGAGTGAATGCTGAATATTACCTTTCCCACTGAATACAAAAGCCAGATGTTAGTGGGTGTTGGTGTGTTTTTGGTGCTGTGGGAGACAGGCTTAAGAATACTGCCATGTGAGCAGCTCTGTGAGGCTGTTAGTAGACACAGAGGTGCTTTGCTAGCATCAGCTAGCAACATGCTCACAATCACAATACTAACATGTGGATGTTTAACAGGTATAATATTTACCATGCTCACCATCTTATGCCCACCATACACCAGGGGACTTTGGAAAGACTTTTTAAAGACTAAAGTCTGACACTCTATCACATCTGAAGACCATATGAGTTTTTGGTCACACGCTTTTTTGCATGAGCCAAGACTGTTTGATTTAATCTGAACGTCAAGATGAGAAAAAGTCTGACGTAAGACAACTTGGACTGAGCTATATGACCACCTTACACCAGATCGGGATCAAAGGAGTGTGCACTAACCGAGGTAAAACTTGTACGAGTTCATGCCCACTTTAGGAAATGTCTGTCTGTGGCAGTGAAATTGCTTGTTAAGTCATTTGGTGTTAGGCCAGCATTAGTTTAATGTGTTAGCATGCTAACACTTGCTAATTAGCACTAAATAAAAAGTACAATGGAGGCTAGTGGAAATGTCATTGGTTTTGGAGAGATTTGATGATAAGTATTGAACAAACTGAAATTACAACTACATAATGGTGCTGTAGATGAAAGGCAGGCGATCACAAATGTCAGACAGATTCATCCAGAGCAGACCATGAATATCTGAGCAAACTTTCACAACAGTCCATCCAATAGTTGTTGAAATATTTGAATCTGGAACGAAACAATGTACCAACTTTCCCATAACTGGAGCCCCACATATTCTTGGTTGCACACCTTGTACAAGATCAGCACACTGAAACTAATACCTGTTGTTTGATCCATTACTGAAAGCTACCAAAAACAGTTATACAGTATCCAAACAAACAAAAGAAAGACAGAGAAATGAATCATAACCTCGTGCTGTAGATGAAAGGCAGGCGATCACAAATGTCAGACAGATTCATCCAGAGCAGACCATGAATATCTGAGCAAACTTTCACAACAGTCCATCCAATAGTTGTTGAAATATTTGAATCTGGAACGAAACAATGTACCAACTTTCCCATAACTGGAGCCCCACATATTCTTGGTTGCACACCTTGTACAAGATCAGCACACTGAAACTAATACCTGTTGTTTGATCCATTGCTGAAAGCTACCAAAAACAGTTATACAGTATCCAAACAAACAAAAGAAAGACAGAGAAATGAATCATAACCTCTTAGGGGAAGGTTACATTGTCTTGGTTTTGTTTCAACAGTTTTAGAGATTAACCTCCTATTCCACTTACTCCCTCTTGCAGGTCTGTGGTGGAGGCGACAGAGGTGGATCTGAACATGCGTGTTGGTCTGCACACAGGACGGGTGCTGTGTGGTGTGCTGGGCCTCAGGAAATGGCAGTATGATGTCTGGTCAAACGATGTCACACTGGCAAATGTGATGGAGGCCGGAGGGCTGCCTGGGTCAGTGCTGACTCTTACACCAACTGAAACTGGACTCTGAGCAGCCACAGTAAAAACACAACACAAATACACACACAAACACACACACACACACACACACACACACACACACACACACACACAGTATCCCAGCAACAGAGATAGCCTCATAATGTGTGCATCCATCACAGATGGGGAAATGTATTCCTTATGAACTAGGCGCACCACATGTGTTTCCATAGACTTGTCAAATATCAGTCATAAAGGATAAGGCTAGACAAATTCACTGACAAATTCAAAGACAAAAAACTAAAATTATTTTAGCTGCCTGACAGGAATTGTCAGTTCTCACAACAGCCTCAAAGCATTCTCTAAAACTACAGATGCACATTGCATTCACTAGAGGAAGAAAAACTGAAGACATTGACTTGAAAATATGAGACTATATTATGATTATCTCTATATAGCATCTCTATTAGGATCATGAGATCTTTATCATACTGTAATGAGATCTGTATCCCATAATCATAAGATAGTTTCCTTAATTATGTGCTTATTTCCAGATATAGATGCTGTAATTAAAATGAGACTTAAACATGGTTATCAAAGATGTAGCCAGGATGTCATTATCACGAGAAGTGTTATTATGTGATATATTGTAACTATGAGATCTTTACATGTATAAGTTTAAGTTTAAGTTTATTCACTTTATTAATCCCCCTGGGGGGAAATTCAATGTCTTCACTCTTGCTTGTCAATTACACACAGGTCTGAAAGACACAGACATGCACAAACAGGACCTATACATGCACAAAGTGGAGAGATCTCAGAGTGAGGGGGCTGCCCTTTGGTCAGGCGCCCTGAGCGGTTGGGGGGTTCGGTGCCTTGCTCAAGGGCACCTCGGCAGTGGACTGAGCTACTGCTCATTATATATAAATGTCAGAATGTAATGTGGTACAAAAATCCAATAGCGGCATATCTGATATTCTGATATCTTTGAGTTTGGCTGATTAGAGTGTATTTTTACACTGTGGATTTTACCTCCCTTCTTTTATATTGGAAGCACATTAGGGAGGGATCTCTTAATGGCCAAAATGAACTATGAATTATCTTAACCTAGCTCTATATGATATTCAGAGCATATCTGTGATTCAGTGTCTGGGCCAGGGTAGCTGGTGGCTAGCAGCTAACAGTGCTAACAATGCGATCAGTGCTAAGAGCGCGAACAGTGCTGATAGAGCAAATGGTGTTAACTAAAGAGGAAGGGGAAGGAAAGGGAAGGTTGAATTCAATTCAATTCAGCTTTATTTAAAGTGTAAAATCACCATAAACATGGTCTCGAAACACTCTCCAGTTCACATAGAAAAAAAATACATTGGAAAAATACAAATTGCAAATAAAAAATACAATTTACAAATAAGCACAATTATATACAAAAACAATTAAAATAAATTAAAAAAGTGCTATCAAGTTGTACCATATGCTTGGGAAAATAAATAGGTTTTTAGTCTCGATTTAACGATGTCAACAGATTCTGCATCACTTACTGACTGGGGGAGCCAGTTCCAGAGAAGTGGGGCACGGTGGGAAAATGCTCTACCATTTTTTGTTAACTTTGGGGACTGTGAGGTAGTTACCATTCTGTGAGTGGAGAGCACGTGTTGGAATGTATGGAATGATTAGTTCAGATAAGTATGGGGGTGCTAGGCCATGTAGAGATTTGTAGGTGAGTAAAAGCAGCTTGAAGTCTGATCTGGACTGGATTGGGAGCCAGTGAAGAGTGATTAAAGCTGGGTTTATATGATCATATTTCCTGATTTTGGTTAGTATCCTGGCTGCTGCATTTTGAACAAGTTGTAATTTGTTTGTGCTGCAGTGCGGTAGGCCAGAGAAGAGGACATTGCAGCAATCTAGTCTAGATCAAACAAAGGTGTGAACTAAGATTTCTGCATCTGAGGTATTTAGCAGGGGATGGATCTTTGAGATGTTGCGTAGATGGAAAAATGCTATCTGATTGATTTCCCTGATGCGAGCATCAAAAGACAGAGATGAATCAAAAGTCACATCAAGGTTTTTAACTGTTGAGTTTGGGGTGACAACACAGTTGTTGATGTTTAAACTAAGGTCAGTGAGGAGTGGTAGTTGGGTGCTCGGGCCTATGATTAGTAGTTCGATTTTGTTGGCATTCAGTCGTAAAAATTTTTTGTGACATCCAGCGAGTAACAGCAGCTAAGCAGAATTCAAGATTTGTAAGTTGGGATTGATAGCGGGGTGTAAGTGGAATGTAAATTTGCGTGTCATCGGCATAACAATGGTAGTTAATGCCAAATCTACGGAATATGTCACCAAGGGGCAGTAAGTATATACAAAAAAGTAAGGGACCCAGGACAGATCCCTGTGGTACGCCAAACTGCACTAAGGAAGATATGGATGTAGTGTTTTTATATGAGACAGTGCTTTTTGTCACTCAGATAGGATTGTTACCAGGAAAGTGCAGTACCATGGATGCCTACGTGATTGGACAGACGATCTAGCAGAATGTTATGACTGACTGTATCAAAAGCTGCACTTAAATCCAGGAGAATGAGAAGTGAATAAGAATTGGAGTCTGATGCAAGGAGAAGGTCATTGGTTACTTTTGTGAGGGGAGTCTCAGTGCTATGTAGTGATTTGAAACCAGATTGAAAAGGATCGAGGAGGGTATTGCGTGAAAGGTGATCGGTAAGTTGACTGGAGACTATTTTTTCAAGGACTTTGGAGATGAAAGGGAGATTTGAGATTGGTCTGAAGTTGTTCAGAATTTCAGGATCAAGAGTAGTTTTTTTGAGTAGTGGTTTGATTACAGCTGATTTGGGCACTACCCTTCTGTGACTACCCTCCTTTTTTTTTAGCATTGTCAGCTGCATATTTAAACTTGTGGTACAGCTCTGACTGAGATTATGTCAATTTCTTTACAAATCTCAAATCAAAAATAGCAAGACACACACCATCAAAACTTTCTCATAACAGACCTGAGCATAACCAGTGATGTGTACGCAACACAATGTATTTTTGCAAAAAAAATGACTGTTGAAAGTTGTTTCAGAATGCTTCAAACTTCTTCAAACTTCTGCTGCTCTAATAGAGGAATATGTTATCCAAAAATGCAGTGGCATAAGTTTCTAACAACAATGAATTTTAATGGCACAGACATATATGCAATTCCTTGTTGGATCTGGTCTTTTCATGCAATTTGTAATGATAGTGTAAGTGTAACATAGTCACCTTATCTCATAAGGATTTATTCGGATTGAATTGTTCCTCTTTGATGTAGTTTCATAATTTTTTTTGAAAGGACAGCAACTTAAAATGAGGCGGGCCACTAGTACTAAATTAATACTTGATTCAGGGAAACTCATGTACAGTAACAAGCTGATTTGCATTTTAAAAGCACCGAAATGAGGTCATCTCATTGGCTCAATTTGGTCTTGTTTCAAGTGAAGTAATAAGATTTTAGGACTCGTTACCACATTAAATGAGTCGTTAGGATGAAAATTTCTTCGCTGCAAAGAATTTTGAGCAAGTTGAGGGGCTATTAGGCCGATGAAAATAATGAGGGGGAAAATTGTTTAAGACCTTAGTGCCAGACTTTTATCACTAACTGCCTTGCATCCTCTGCTCTGCTTGTGCTTCCAGCAAGGTGCACATCACCAGGACCACCCTGGAGTGTTTGAATGGAGACTACGAGGTGGAGCCAGGCTTCGGTCATGAGAGACATGCCTTCCTCCAAAAACATCACATAGAGACATTTTTTATTGTGCCATCACACAGACGTAAAGTATGCCACAATCATTTCTTTTTTTTTGATAGATATATCACCTGTCTCTCACTCGACAGGTGATATATCTATCAGTGTTATAATAGTTAATCCTCTCATGCAGAGAGGGAGGCAGGCCGTGTGTGAAGCTGGCATATGCATGACTACTATCATTGTCTCACACTTACTGTACATGTGCGCAATAGCCGAATATGTGCCTCTACTCGTAGCATTTTTAATCCGCAGCTACAGTATTTGTGTGAGCATACACACACACACACACACACACACACACATACAAATAAACACTTGACATATGCAGGTTTTCCAACGTTTCACTCACAGTTTGGCGTAAAAATCCCATTCAAGCTTTATTTATTTCCTTGAACAAGACAATACACTCCAAAGCATATTAAAATTCATGCCCTTGTCATGTCTTCCTTTTCCTCCCATCCTTGATGGGCGATGCAAAATTTTGTCTCAGGTTTATTACGGAAACTGTATTTTCTGTTTTCAGGATAATATACTGGAGGATTGTTGGTAAAAATAAGTTGTAAATAATGAGTTCTGTATAATTTAGTTGAATTTACTACAGTTAACCTGCCAAAGACCCAGAGGGCTCTAGTTTCCCGGCGCAGCGCAGGGTGGCAAACCCCGTGGAGAGCTAGTTTCAAGCAGCGCAACCCGAGGCGCGCTCAGTTTGGTAGTTTGGCAGACCGCTGAGATGGGTGTGGCGGCGCAGCAGGGGGAGGTGTCGACAGATCCAGCTTGGCGCAGTGACAGTTCCGTGCCAAAAGGCTTCGCCGAAGGTGCACTAGAAGCTCGCCAGCTGAAACCAGGTTTACTGTCAGCGCAGGCGGAGCGCAGCCGGTGTAAGCCGAAGTTTGGCTGACTGGCGGATAGTGCGCACGTTACCAAAACCTCACAGGCAGGTTTACAGAATATCAGGCACATTAATAATGCAATAAATAGCCACAAAACCACTATTCAATGCAACTATCTGCTATCAGCACATAAATGTATCTCTATATCGACTGTCCCGTCACATCTGATGTCAGATCAAAGGGGATTGGCACCGTTTGGCGCGTTTGGCACGCGTTATGGAAACCCAATCTGATTTGATTAACACAGCTGCAAACTAATGAATTCACATCCCTCTCAGCCAACCACAAACAGCCACAGCATCAGATAGGGAGTATATATTCAGCATCTGTCATCTTAGAAAAGTCAAAAGAAAACAAACAGAGTGAGACTGCGAGAGAGAAAGAGAGAGAGCACGCGCGCACGAGAGAAACGCATCATTGATTTACAATTGTGGTGACCTCCTCCCAGGCTACCTTTGCAACATCAGCCCGTGGAGGTCTGCTCGTAGTTCCGTATATTCGGACACTGCGAGCTTGGACCTCCCGGACCAAAACATCAGTTTCCTCCCGGGAGAAGTTTGGCCGTCTGACGCTGCTGCTCTCTTCTGCCATGGCGAATTGAGTAAACTCTCATTACGCCTTCGCGCGGCGCATTTAAGGGCGAGGAGAGGGGCTCATTTGATTGGTGTGATGTGTGTAAAACCCACTCCACGCCTTCTCTCCTCCCTCTTTCCGACTTGCGCAGGTAGGAGGGACGGAGGTGGGAAAGAGGAGTAGCTGCGCCAGTGCGCACAGTGTGCCAAACTTGCAAAATCCGCCTGGCCGCACCCAGTTGGCGAAGCGCAGGTGCGCTGCGCCCCTGCCTCGCCCGGTCTGCGAAACTAGAGCCCATAGACTGTATAAAGAAATTGATATAGCCACTGTGATGTCATTTGTTCTTGGACTCCTGTTTTAAAGCCCAAAGTTTAGAACTTTGGCCAGAAGTCACCACGTGTGCGTGAGAGGAGCAGTGGCCGCTCGCGGTTTTGCAGCAAAAAATTCCTTGCAGGCCAAAAACATTTTCCCCATAGGCCACCGTTATATTAAGAGACATCTGTAAAACTTTTGACAGGATGCCTCGAACTGCAAATAAGGTCAATTATGAATCTTCCTTTTCTGATTTTTTTTTTTTATAGATTTCATAGTTGTAAAACCTTCCTTGAGCCAAGAAAAGCATTTAAAAATGTCATCACAATGTAAAGTCTATGAGCTCAGCAGGATCTTGAGGGTGGGGCTAGCAGGAGAAACACTACTATGCATATTCAGTGGGCCGCAAACTGCAGAAGTAAAAGCTAGAAACTTTTTGGCGTATGTGCCAAAAATCTATCTATGGTCGGCCACTATAGTTCTCCTACATGCTTGACGAACTGGCAGAGTTTCAGTTGGTTGCAATCTAAAACCTGCCCCTAAATCCTACACACTAGATATCTTTAAATGTACACAGTGCCATGAATACACATATGCCTCTATCATGATTGACAGGCTGCCTAAAGCATGCCTGGCACTATCATCTATTTTACTCAAAACAGGACCCTAATTTCCTAAATGAACATCATGCTGTATTGAAGACTTAAAAGTATCAACTGAGACCAAAAACTAATCATGAAAAAGTTTACTGAGATAATAAATCAAGTGAGAGGTCAGGACATTTTCCCAATCAATTCTATATAATCGCGCTTTTTGCAACAAGAAAAGTTGCATCCCGCTGGCCATTAAAAAGAATGCAGGTTTAAGGCACTTTACGCTGACTTTGCTTTTCTATGTCTGAGCTACGTCCAGTTCTTTTATACAGTTTCTGTAAACAATACATGATGCCAAACAGTAACATGCCTGTTTCCATTTGTTATATGCAAGTTTAATGTCTAGACTTGGTAGATTATAGATAAGAGGAAGTTGGGAACGTTTCATTTATGAAGTTTAAATGTGTTGAAAAAGGGCAGTGCACATACTCTAACCATGTGGGAGGCTATTTCAGAGAGTGAAGTGAATGAACACAAAACAGTCTGGTTTTGGTTTTCAGCCTTGGATAAAGAACTGTTATTATGTGAGTGGTCTCTGTTACATTTACAGTATGTCAGGAGATAATACATGTTACCAAAACCAAACCTTAAAGTGTTTTCTGTACCTCTATAGCGTCTAAGTCTTTCTTCTCTCCTGTTCATCTCATTATCTTTGTCCTCATTTCCAGATCTTTCCAGGTCTTATTCTGTCAGACATCAAACCAGCCAAGAGGATGAAGTTTAAGACGGTGTGCTACCTGCTGGTGCAGCTGATGCACTGTAGGAAAATGTTTAAGGCTGAGATCCCCTTCTCCAACGTCATGACCTGTGAGGATGACGACAAGGTATTTAACAGACACAATCTGTAATCTCAGAATATTATCAATGTTTTTTTCTGTTTGTATGCATGTGTGTGTACCACTACTGTACAGAAAAGATATAAATATTTCTAGGTTACGTAGTAAGAGAAATCCTTTTAATGGGTTTGTATGTCCATTTGTGATGGAAAAAATCCTGCTTCTATTCCTAATCTGCCAGACACACACACACACACACACTGTATTGTGGTAATCTGGATTTCTAGATTTCGCAGCATCTTTAATCCTACAGTATGCCTGCATTACAACTACTTGTTGAAAAGTAAACCACTGGAATAGATATTATGAGCAACTTTTGACCTAAACCCACTGCTCTTAAGATCGCTGAGTGTGTGTGTGTGTGTGTGTGTGTGTGCATGTTTATATATATATGTTGGTGATTTTTTTCATGCATATGAGCATCAATTTGAGCTTGCTCAGGTGTTTCTCATCATCTTTGTGAGTATATTTGCTTTAATCCAGCAGTGAGTCAGTCACAGTGCTGCTGGTCTGTTCCTGTCACTCAGTGTTTGGTGGCTGATGATTTGGTGTTGTGGCATCACAGGGTCTGACCGTCAGAAATAGCCTGCTAGCCGTAATCCGCCCAACTGTGTGAGCTTGGCCAGGCATTTGTACTTCATGATTCTGATGAGGTTGCATTATGACTGCTGGTAATCACCCACAGCATGGTATCATCTCCTATAATAGCATTAGCCACATTGTTACATGATTATCCAAGTAGCCAAAATCCTAGCATTGTGACACAGTGGAATTTTATAATGGAATTATGACACTGCAAATTGTTTGGCCAAAAGCATATTTAATCATATGATGGATGATAAATCATTTTTATGACCTAAAATAAATGGAGTGGTACATTGGATTATTGGACTATTAACTGTCACTTTCTAGTGAATTTGGATACTCGTGGTGTAGTTACTGAACATGTCAGTCAAAATAAACTTGTTTCTACGTGAGGCAAAGCTGTTCAGCTGTGTGATGCAGAACATGTGTTGGAGTTCAGTCTGAAAGCTGCTGGATAAGAGCTTCAGTTTCTGTTGGCCTGGCCGGTATTGTGGATATAAAGTTTTTAATTTGTGCGAATGAAATACTGTGTTTTGCATATTACAAATGAATAATTTGTATCCTCATATTAATAGCTTTTGTGCACTTTCAGGGACACTAGTATTTTTACACCTTCAGACTTGAGAAAGATGAAAATGAGACTGAATGACTCGTTCAAATGGATGTAGAATCTGTGGGAGCAGAACAGTGATTATATTAGGATCCTTGTATCACTTCCACTGAGACTGGATGATTAAGTGACAGAGCCACTGTTTTTAATGTTATTTTGTAGAAGCAGGTGTAAATTTAAAGAATACTTCACATTCTTTTTATAATGCTGCACTGTAGCTGTAAAATAATGAGAAGAAGAACTGACTGATTCCTCTCTAATAATAGCTACAGTTGAGACTCTAACTATAAATACCTACAGCATACCGTGTGCTTGCTTTATGCACACTGATAACATGCTTAATGATATAAGAATGGTGCAGAGTGTCTCTTATGTATGGCAGGATGCAGCAGTGCGTTTTACATGAATCTTCCAGTTTTTGTTGAAGTGACTCTTTGGCCCAGATTGAAATCAGGCAGCGTGTTTTGTGCGTACTCTATCCACGAGAATCCATTTTGCCTGTTGATGCTGTTGCCTGTTGTCACACTTTTATATGATGCTGATTTTAATATGACGCTGTTGGTCTGACTACATACTTCCACTCACACAGAGGATGCCAGCTGAGTAGACAGTCCTTCAGTATCGACCAGGATACATTCTCATACACACTGCTAAAAGAAAGTGGTCATTCTGTATGTAGCCCGGATCACCTCCAAATGTGGTCTGAGTGATTGGATCTCAATGAGCCTGTTTACACCTGGTACAGAGTGGAGCAGGAATGAGTCCTAAGTTAGCATTTTTGCACTCCCGGTTCCCTCTCGGTCTTTGGTTCGATGCCTGAAATAAGGTCTGTGATTAACACAAGCTGAGGAGACTTTCAAGATTTGTTCTGCAACATAAAAGACGTCAATATTGAAGTCAGTCGTGAATATTGAAGTCTTTATGTGTCTTAACAAAGGCAGTTGCTAACAAGCGGCTAAAGGAGACTGCAGAATGTCATCACACTGAACATGGCTTCACAGCATTGTTGTGGTGGTGTGACCGTGGTGTAGTTTGTTTTCAGCCTAACATTAGCATTTTACCTCTGGCGATTGCATTTATGCTTCAAAAATTATAAAAGTGGTGTTCATTTGTGAAGATAGTCTTGCTGAACAAAACATGCAAGAACCATAAACGTATGTTTGCCACATACTTTTTGATGAGGGAACAAAAGCGATGCTAACTACCACGTCTGCCTACAATATAACATCATCCCTGCAGCGCTGTATTAACATGCTTCTATTATCGGTCTCCAGCTTATCACTTTTGTTCAGATTTTGTCACTGTTTAGGTCCCTTACACCAGAAGGTCAAATGGCCCTACACACACTTGTGTTTATACTCTCATTAGCAGCTTGCTAGCATGCTCTCTAGTCAACGGTTGACCAAATGAAAGAGGACCAAAAAAATTCTGAGAATTATCTCAAGAACATTAAAAACTCCTGTTATAGAGCGTTGTCACCAAAACATCCACCATGTTCTGCATGATAATGTAGTCCTTGTCAGGGACGCATCAGAACTCATGAGCGTTTACACCACAAAAGATATGTAGTCAAATATGTCCCACGCCTCAGAAAGTGGTTTGAGTGATCAGATCACAATGTGTCTTGATGGTCGTTTACACTTGTATTTAGCACTATCCACTCGTGATGGGATCACCAAGATGCAGGTTAATACTGGGTATAAATAAGCTCAATGTGTCCGCAATGCATCTTGGGTGCATTAACACCTGTACCTAGAGCTGTCAACTTATGCATGGATCACCCAAGACGTTAATGCCAGGTGTGAAAAGGGCCTTAATTTAGCTGACAGTTTAGCTCACAACTCTCTACCCCACTAATGGTAATGAGGTGTAAAGTTTTCTGTCTGTATTTCATCAAGCAGTTTCGTTTTTTGGTGTTTAACAAGCATTGCAGCCTGACAGGGCTGAGCCAGCATGGCTGTAGATTTCATATCTTGTTTCCACTGATGTTTGTGAAGTTATTACAAAATCTTATAGCAGTGAATGCTGACTTCACAAAACTCTGCATTGGTATGCCTCAGCACACCAGCTGAGAACCAGCCAAGTTTAACACATCAGACAGGCTCAGCCTCTGCAGAGGCTGATTGTGTTGTCTGTTTGGTGTCTGACAGCGGAGGGCCCTGCGGACTGCGTCAGAGAAGCTGAGGAGTCGGACGTCCTTCTCAGCCACCGCCGTGCAGCACTCGCCAGGAACACGAGTCAACCGCTACATTGGGCGGCTCATTGAAGCGCGGCAGACCGAGTCAGAGACAACAGACCTCAACTTCATCACTCTGTTCTACAGGAGCAGAGACAGGGAGCGCAGGGTGAGGACACACACACACATGCATACACACTGAACATCTGCAGAGAAGCCAGCAGTAACTTGGATTTATATTTACAAAATGTTACAAATATATACTTTCCTCATCACAAGGTAACATGCTTCGTGACTGCCCCCCCCCCAACCTTATTCTCTCACATAGGCTACACACCCTACACAGTCTCTAATTCTTTCTCCCCTTTCTCCCTCTCTCCCACGCCTGTTGTCTATGATGTCTGTGTGTATGTGTGTGTGTGTGTGTGTGTGTATGAGGAATCCACCCACCCTCTCAGGAGGGGGTGCAGATAATGATTTGGGAACGTCTGAGCGGCACACGTGATAGCTTTCTCCTGTGCTTGCGTGGGTGAGCCATAAAGGGGCCACAGAACAGGGACGGGCATGTGTGTGTGTGTGTGTGTGTGTGTGTGTGTGTGTGTGTGTGTCACAGTTTCTATGTCTGTGTCTTTGTCTGTGTGTAATCTAGACATCCAAACTGGTGGCAGAAGAATCATAGCCCCATACACAGTAAAAACTAGTTAATTATTACTCATTTTCAGAAGTCTTATCCATCAGGAAAATGCCACCAGCAGAAAAAAAAAATCAAGACTCAAATTAGTGTTTATTTACTCCCACGCAGCTACAGTAAAAATATTTCTTTCATAGGATGCTGGTAGAGTTCAGGACACACCATTGTCCCTGAAGTATAGATCTAACTGCACATCGGATTTATAGAGCAAACGTTAGATTGTTTCATATCCAACTACAGAATTTAGATCCATTCAGTGTCATTTGCCTCTAAAACAGTTTTTTATCTCAGGCAGAAATAAAGAATAACTTCTAAGGTAGTGGCTCTCAACCTTTCTTGTGTCAAGGACCCTGAAATTGATACACATTAGGTCATGACCCCCATTTGAGAAAATTTTGCTTCAAGGACCTCCATCTGAAAAGATTTTGGTTGTTAGATATGATTACAACCAGAATTTTATAGCTGTAAACTACAGTTGTGGAGATAACTAAGGAGAAAGTGAGACCTATGATCAGAGTAGTCACTCATACCAGAGCATGTGAACGGAGCGGGTATAAATTTCCGCTCCTCGCTCGCAGACCTGTCACTCTGTGCCGCTCGTCCGCTCCGCTTGGTTCTGCGCATTCTTCACTCCGCTCCGCTCCATCATAAATTTTATCCCGCTCCACTCGCTCACCACTCCGCTCAAAAAACTGTGTCGTACTACCCTAACCTGTAATCTTCTATTCACAAATAAAACGGGGTCTGCCCAATTTTCCAACAGCCCATTGGTCCGACATCCCATTGTTCCGACCATATTAAACCCATTGTTCTGAAGTCCCGTTTTTCTGAAATCATCATGATGCCCTGTGGTTAAGGTCTGGTTAGGTTTAGGCACAAAAACCACTTGGTTAGGGTTAGGAAAAGATCATGGTGTGGGTTAAAATGAAAAAGAAAGTGGCAAACACATAAGCCGTGAGCGTGCTCCACCTCAAGCCTTTCCCAGCTGACCCAGAGCCGGTCGCGGCGCACCATCAAGGCAGAAATACGCCCGTCGGGAGCCGTTCAGCATCGCGGAGCGCTCCCCACACAACCCGACCCCAGAGTTAATAACAGGAGGTTATGGTGTTTCACTCTCTCCTCTCTATGACACTTGTATCTCGACCAGTAGCCTACTTTTGTTGCGTTGCTGATCCTCTATGGTACACAAATACAGTAATAATCACATATTGGAACAACGGGACGTCGGACTCATGAGAGGTCAGAACAATGCTACGGCACCAATAAAATATGAGCTTGGTAGATTCTCTGGGGAAGCCCTCTCCCTGCAGTTAGGGACCGTTCTACATGGTACCGCTGGCAGGGTGGAAATAAGTCAAAGTGTGGAGGAGACGGACCAGGTTAAGCGGCCAACCTCCGAAGCCCTCTCACCTCTCCCCACAGTTAGGGACCGTTCTCCAAGGTACCGCTGCTTCTCTTCTCAGTTTCTTTTCTGAGGTACACAGTAAACTCCATAGTTTTGAAAGAAAATAGTGTGGGTGTGCGCAGGTGCAAAGATGCATTCTGGGTCAGGCATGAGCGACCGGAGCAAAATTGGAGCGAGAGATAAGGCTCCGCTCCACCTTTTAAAAAAAATAGCCGCTCCTCCCTCAACACAAAATCCTCCCGCTCCCCGCTCTGCTCACATGCTCTGGTGAGATCTGAACTCATTAAAGATAAAAACAATAAAGCTGTCATGTAACGTAGGCCTCTTCCACTTTATCATCCCTCATTTTCTCTTTTTCTCCAGAGGTCAGTCAGTAGTCGCTTGGTTGGTCTATTGCCATGATTCTTTAGGCCTTTGCACAATGAATCTGTATTTTTTGTCCAAGTGTGTTGCATGTTTAAAAATAAATCAATCACGTTTAAACGCAGACTTCAGACAAAAGTGGACAGCGGGCCAGCAAGAAAAAGAAGTGGAAATATTTGGAAGCAATTATCTTTTTGAAATCTTCCACAACAGAGACAATGTTATCTTAGCCTATCCAGAAATGCACAACAGCAATGATGATACTTACAGCAGAGTGCAAAGCCACACAATATTGTTTCATAATTCGATAACCAAATGCAAGACGCCTTCAGGGAGTGTCGACGGGGAGGTACCTTCAGTGGAGAGAAGCAAGGGAAGCAAATGCTACTCTGCATTTTTGTATAGCGAACTTTCCCAACCAATGGAGTAATGAAATGCATCACACTCAATGTGCAAGATTTCTGTACATAACATAATCTATCAGATGACGGATCAAAACGCATGGGAAAAATACAGACTTGGTCTACAAAGGCCTTTAGCCTGTAACATATCTTGACAACCAGTGAATGGATTCTTTCCTTTATGATCAGGGACCTTATTCTATGATGATGACAGCTGTATCAGGATTGGAGTTGCCATCCTTCTGGTTAGCTGCTGCCTCTCATAACTGAGATGCTACCCTAAGTGAAGGAGTTAACAATCTTCAGGTCTTGTTCACAAGGGTTAGATGGAGCGTGAGAACAGCAGGTGGAATTAGCCCCTCTCAGGTGGCTTATGCTTGAGGCTGAGTCCAAAGGTGAAGCTCCACTGACACTCCAGATATCACCTGTGTTTCAGGAAGGAGGCTTTGGGTACCAACCAGAAGGATATGATGATGGAGGCAAGCAGGTGAAATTAACTTCCCTCTTGGTCTGTCTAAGCTCACCTTGAGGGAGAGAATAAGAGGCTCAAATAGAGAAGAAGAGTGAGCTACTGCTTCTGCACAGTGGAAGGTGCCATTTCAGGTCAATTGTTGGAGGTATTCTGGGCATGCCAAACTTTAAGGACACCCAAAGCCAGAACAGTCTGGAGGGATTCTGTAAATCAACAATCCTGGAGCATCTAATCTGTCGTTCATACCAAGCACACAAGCTTGCATAGTTTGTGTGAGGTTGAACATAAACTGAGAAGAGAGAATTATGTGTATTTTAAGCAAGACAATTACTAACCACAAAAGGTGGTGGTATTTTGGCCACAAAACTTGGCAGAAAATCAATGTGGTGTTTACTTCCATAGCTAAGGTGGAAATTATGATTCTCGGAAGACTCTTTAAATGTCTCAGCAGATCTACGCAGAGAAGGGTGGTATGGATAACTATACATGTAGGTCACCGAGTTTTGCAAAGGAGCTGATGTGATGAACTCAAAAAGTCTGAGTGTGAAAAAAGCTGTTGTTTTATGTGACTCCTGATGGTAGTTGGAAGAACCTTGAACAGCCATGCAACTCTCTTCCAAAGACCCCATGTATATTTGCTGCAGCCCAGAGAAGCATATTCCAGCCTTAAAGGGTAATTTAGGTATTCTTTAATCTGGGCCCTATTTTCCCATGTTTTTGAATCTAAGTGACTAATGGGAATGACAATATTTTAATAGGTCCATAATTGAGCCAGGCAGTACTGGCCAAACAGGCTGCATTGTAACCATTCAGGGCCTTTGTGCACTGTCAATTTACACTTTTGGTGGATGTAAACTGTCACAGGGAATATGCCCTCAGTGTTTACATTGTGGCCTGGCCACTGATGTTGCTCAATTTTGGACCAATTTCAAGTTGTTGTTCTCATTAGTCATATAAGCCCCTTTCCAACTGCATAAAAACCCCACTAACACCGCTAACATCTGGCTTTTGTGTTTAATGGAGATTGTTACGATCGGCATTCACTCCCTGACAAATGACTCTGCAGTAGTCAGGGGTGTTTATCGGCTCCTGCTCTGATTGGCAGTGATGGCAATACAACAGCCTTGTGGATGCACTAATTGTAGCCCCTTTGTCGATGCGACCCAATGATCAACATCCACAGAATACCACCTGTCTCTGTCCGAGCAGCGCTTGAACACCAATGACAATGTAGTCGGCACCAAGTTTGAAAGACTGAAAAAGTAAGAGAAATGAGAAACAAAGTAACCACCGCAAAATTTTCACTGGCTTCCTTACTGCTCTCTACTGTTTACCAGCCTGTTTTCCAGTGTGCAACCCCTCTATGATGTGACACATGACACACCAGATAAAAAAAGGCACTTTATTCACCATTTTTAGTGGGTTTACCGTGTTTAAACGTACATACATACATGCACTAATTTTGGTGGAAAAAAGGTCTTAGACACAAAAACATGCAAAATAGGGTCTGGATCAGAGCATGTGAGCGGAGCGGAGTGGGGAGCGGGGAGCGGGGAGCGGGAGGATTTTGTGTTGAGGGAGGAGCGGCTATTTTTTTAAAAGGTGGAGCGGAGCCTTATCTCTCGCTCCAATTTTGCTCCGGTCGCTCATGCCCGACCCAGAATGCATCTTTGCACCTGCGCACACCCACACTATTTTCTTTCAAAACTATGGAGTTTACTGTGTACTTCAGAAAAGAAACTGAGAAGAGAAGCAGCGGTACCTTGGAGAACGGTCCCTAACTGCAGGGAGAGGCGAGAGGGCTTCGGAGGTCAGCCGCTTAACCTGGTCCGTCTCCTCCACACTTTGACCATTTCCACCCTGCCAGCGGTACCATGTAGAACGGTCCCTAACTGCAGGGAGAGGCGAGAGGGCTTCGGAGGTCGGCCGCTTAACCTGGTCCGTCTCCTCCACACTTTGACTATTTCCACCCTGCCAGCGGTACCGTGTAGAACGGTCCCTAACTGCGTGGAGAGGGCTTCCCCGGAGAATCTACCAAGCTCATATTTTATTGGTGCCGTAGCATTGTTCCGACCTCTCATTAGTCCGACCTCTCATTAGTCCGACGTCCTGTTGTTCCGATATGTGATTATACTAGGATATTCTGTATTTGTGTACCATAGAGGATCAGCAACGCAACAAAAGTAGGCTACTGGTCGAGATACAAGTGTCACAGAGAGGAGAGAGTGAAACACCATAACCTCCTGTTATTAACTCTGGGGTCGGGTTGTGTGGGGAGCTCTCCGCGATGCTGAACGGTTCCCGGCGGGCGTATTTCTGCCTTGATGGTGCGCCGCAACCGGCTCTGGGTCAGCTAGGAAAGGCTTGAGGCGAAGCAGGCTCACGGCTTATGTGTTTGTCACTTTCTTTTTCATTTTAACCCACACCACGATCTTTTCCTGACCCTAACCCTAACCCCTAACCCCTAACCAAGTGGTTTTTGTGCTTAAACCTAACCAGACCTTAACCACAGGGCATCATGATGATTTCGGAAAAACGGGACTTCGGAACAATGGATTTAATATTGTTGGAACAATGGGATGTCGGACCAATGGGCTGTTGGAAAATTGGGCAGACCCCGTTTTATTTGTGAACAGAAGATTACAGGTTAGGGTAGTATGACACAGTTTTTTGAGCGGAGTGGTGAGCGAGTGGAGCGGGATAAAATTTATGATGGAGCGGAGCGGAGCGAAAAATGCGCAGAACCAAGCGGAGCGGACGAGCGGCGCAAAGTGACAGGTCTGCGAGCGAGGAGCGGAAATTTATACCCGCTCCGCTCACATGCTCTGGTCCGGATTGAAAAATACTTAAGTCACTGTGTAACACAAACACTTTAGACAGCACAGATAAACTCTACACTGGAAAAAATATCACACTTGTGCATTTGGTTTTAAAGCAGGGTAAAGATTCTCCACAGAAAAGTATATTTGACCTGCTCCTACCTAGACACAGATAAACATCTGAGTGGATGGATGAATGAATGATTCTTATGTTGACTTTTTCCTCTCTGTTTTGTCCTTTCTTAGTATCACCAGGTGTATGACGACCATTTCATCAGTGCAGTGGTTCTCTCTCTGATCCTCGCTGCTCTGTTTGGCCTTATCTATTTGCTAATGATCCCACAGTACGTACACACACACATACACACACAGACTCTTCCACATTTGCAGCTTGTCCATTCGTGTAGCGTAATTGGATCGCTCTTGCTAGGGTGCAGTGAGACAATTAAGAAGGAAGGTGTTTTCGCTGCAGTCAGTGGAAAAGTGGGGAAGCCCTTCTCACTCTGGTCTCTCCTCTCGTTTCTCAGGGGGATGCTGGTGCTGCTTCTGCTGGTGCTGTGTGTGTGTTTCCACGTGGCCTGTGTCATGTACCTGCATCTTACCAGTGTTCAGGTAGGACTCCCAGACCTCCTCCTTCAGGATGCAGCTCAGAAACCTGATTAAGATTATTCAAAATAACAAATTTATATATAGAAATCAACTAATAAATTGTAATTTGTTATTATGGATAACCTACTGTAAGTAGTAGTAAAATATTAGTAGTAAAATTAGCTTCACCTTTTCCAGCGGCAATGTTAAAGTGATGAACACATTAATGCATCAGTATTTATAATCCAGTTGTATAATATTTATTGTTCTGAAATGAGCCATTCTTTACAATGAGTACTTTTATCAGTACAGAAGTACATACATTTTAACTGCAAGACTTTTACTTGTAACAGAATATTTCTACACTGTACTATTGCTACTTTTACTGAAGTAGAGCCTGTGTGCTTCTTCCTCCACCGCACACTTGTCAGGTTGTGAGTGACCACGCCAACTTATACCCTCTATATGACACTGTGGCATCATGCTACATTGAACTCTCATCATATCCTTTAAGCTTCTCCTCTAATAGGCCTGCATGTAATGAGCCACACCACAAAATGCACCCATTTCATTTCCACTCCTGGCTAATGATGTGTCCAAAATGCCATTGAAGTAGATAAACAGGTGCTTCATTTACTCACTCGTTCTATTTTCCAATCACTTCCCTTCTCTCTCCTCTGGTTTTAGTGCCAACCGGGCTGCCTCACCATCCAGATCCGAACGGTGCTGTGTGTCTTCCTCGTTCTGCTCACCTACTCTGTTACCCAGGCCTGTGTGGTAAGAGTGTAGATTTATATAATAATTAGTTTAATTCACGTTTAGGATTATTTGTAATGCACAATATAATGCTAAATCAATTTGAAGCACTGTGCAGGGGGAAGCAAAAAACAATAAAAACAAATAAAAATAAAGTTAAGAGTGAAAGTTTATTTTTGACCTAAGAGACAGCAGTTTGACAAAAAAAAATCTCAAGCTATATGTCACTTTTTCTGTAGCTTTCAACTGCATGTCACAGTCCTTCTTAGTGGATGTCTTTCTTTTGCTCAGGTGTCATTATGTGCCTTCAGTTCCATAATGTCAACCGCCACTCTCTGAGAAAGACCATGAGATGCAGCCGAAAGCTTGAGGAGCTCATGGTCAAGACTTTTTGTGTGAGATTAAAACATACTTAAACAAAAACAAAAAAAACATGATAAACTAATTACAGGATACTGGTTTATACTGGCTTATAGCTATATATAGCGAATCATAAAGTATTGATAATGTATTTACTATCTTATTTATTATATGATTACATTTATATTATAATAATATAATATGTGCTCAACCTAGATCAATCTCCATCAAGGACATGTCTGCAACATAGATGATCAGAAACACATATGACTCATGTATGAGATATAATAACCATCTCTGTTTTGCATCATATCACTGTGAATGTAAACTGGTGACAAAGAATTTATTAACTGCTTATAAAAAATAAAGACAGGGGTTCAAATGCTGATATCATACAATGACTTAAAGGCCTAGGCTATGTAAAAATAATAGAACATTAAAGTACACAATGCAGAGCAAAGCAGTTGAGTTAGACACAGTGTCATCATTTCATTGTCATTTCAAGTCTCTGCAGTACACAAGTTGGCAGAGTTGCACCCGAGCAGATGGTGCCGCGGAGTCTCAGAAGAATAAAACATTTATTGTCCAAGTGTAAAATACCCGTTAAAATATTTTAAACGCAAACTGGTTGGTGTCAGCAACGGCCCCAGAACTTGGTCAGGCTGGTGTGTGGGTGTGTGATTAGCCCACTGTAGGTGTAAAAATACAATAAAGCAAAGGTGTAGCAGCAGGGATGTAGTGAAGGGATGGCCCCGCTAGCTACAGACTTTGATCATTTCCTTTTTTGAATAATCTAATTGTTTTCTTTTTTATCTAATTTCTTTTTTTTTTAATATTTCAAGGTTACAAAATACCAAAGATGAACCAGAGCCTTAAGAGACGTTAACTTGTAGCCTCTTTGCTGAGGCACAGCGCTCATTTGAGCTAATTGCAAACGTCACCATGCTACTATACTCACAATGTCAATGCTACCATATTGATGTTTAGCAGGTACATGTTTACAATGTTGACCATCTTAGTTTAGTGTGTGACCATGCCGAATATTAGCATTGTTAGCGTGCTGACGTTAGCTGAAAGCACCACAATACAGCCTCACAGAGCTCCTAGTTTTAGATGTTTTTATATGGTTCGCACAGCTCCCTCTTCACCATAACATTCTGGTGCAGCGCCCGCATCACTGCAGACACCGCACCAAACCGCCTATCCATCTCAAGCTCCATTCTACCCTCAGTCATGAACAAGAGCCTGAGATACTTGAACTCTTGAGGCAGTGACTTTCTCTCAACCCAGAGGGGGCAATCCAGTGTTTTCCAGCAGAGAACCATGGCCTCAGATTTAGAGGTGCTGACTCTCATCCCAACTGCTTCATACTCAACTGCAAACCGCCCCAGTGCATGCTGGAGATCACATTGTGATGAAGCCAACAGAACCACATCATCTGCAAAAGCAGAGAAACAATTCTGAGGTTCCCAAATCGGACCCCTTCCTCCCCCCAGCTGTGCATTGAGATCCTGTCCATGAATATCACAGACAGGAGTGGTGAGAAGGGACAACCCTGGCGGAGGCCAACACCAACACCCACCGAGAACGTGTTTGACTTTATGCTGAGTATGCAAAGGCAACTCTCACTTGACTGCATGGCTCATATCAACGATCCTGGTGCCCTGTAACCCCACAGTAGCCCCCATAAAACACTTCTATCTGTCTGTTAGGTCAAATATGAAGTTACAGCCAGGGTGCTATTAGCTTAGCTAGCATAAAAACTGGAAATGGGGAAGCAGAGTCACATGTAAAAATTCAATTTACACCTGAAATTGTTTTTTTTTGTTTGTTTGTTTTTTAAGTCTTGTCAACTCATTTTGTTGATTGACTTAATTACTCAACTAATTGTTTTAGCGCTAAGCCCACAGTTTTACTTAATACACATTTTTAGATGAATTAAATTCACCTCCCCAGCATCACACACAGTACTGTGTATCTTTTAAGTTTATTTCATTGTCATAAATTGCCTTATGTCTAACATAAAAGCATAAAAGGCATTATTAGTGGTTGTTTGTTTATCTAACCCACTTTCCTGTGATATCTCCTTCCAGGTGGGATGTGTTCCTTGGGGGAGAGTTGGGACAAACTCCAGCCTCTTGGTGGAAGAGGTTTCTGCAGATGCCAACAGCACAGCAGTGGACAGAGCTTGTACAAACATGGCATACGCCCTACTGTCCTGTGTGGCTGGCACCCTCACTCTTGTCCCCTACCTCCGAGTCTCCTCGCTCCCCAAGATCCTCCTGCTCCTCCTCCTCTCTGTCACCTACACTGTCGTCATGGAGACCAGCGGCTATCGCCAAGCTGTGGGGTGAGACTGAGCTACATGTGATGTGTAGTGTGGTATGGAGAATATGTATGTTTGTGGCTCATGTATGTGTTTTAAATTCATATTTCTTCTCAGTTTTTTTAATTTGCCTATCAGGATATTTAAAGGAGCAAACAACCCATTTTTTTTCTGTGTGTGTGTCTTTCAGGGGAGGGTTTCTCCACACACGGGGGTACGATCCTGTGTTGGCTGCCTTGCTGTTTTCTGGAGCGCTGGCTCTGCATTCAAGACAGCTGGACCTGAAGCTGCGGCTCGACTATCTCTGGGCCACTCAGGTACGTCTGTTTGTACAAGTAGCACATCGTTACTGCTGATGCATGCATAAGGCTTTGTATGTGCACACCCAGTTGCTCTTGCTCACTCCAAGAAAATCTGCTTAGGGTTATTAGTTTGATCCACAGCTCCTCCTCATTACAGCTCAAAGTGTCTTTGAGCAAAACACTGAACCCCAAAATTGCTCCTGTTGTGTTTAAGGGAAATTGTAAGTTGTGTATTGGATGAAAAACATACATAAATATCTGCAGTAAGAAAATCTCAACCAGTGCAGATTATTGATTTTAATGATGATATTAATGTTATAAGTGTATCATAGTATGCACTCACAGATGATCTTAAATATTTAAAATCTATGTCAAATTGTGTAACTTTTGTTGGTCTCTATCTTCCTTTTTTTAAATGTATTTATCTTTTATGGTTTTGTATATTCACCTATTTCTATTGTAATTAATAAAAGAAAACTAAATAAAACACAATTCACAAAAAAAGAAGATTTTCATGTCTTGAAACAAGTTAATTTCTGGTGGAAACAAGATGAAATATTTTGACTTGACTGGCAGGTTTTTAAAACCCAAATTTTAGGATTCAGTTTCAGGCACAAATGGCTTTGAATAATGCATATGTTCTCAGTGTGTGTGTGTTTGAATGGTATGTGTGTGTGTGTTTGCATGCACAGTCTTGTGCAGTCCCAGTGGATCATGAAAGTGTCTATGTTTCTATTTTAGGAATGACAGTGAGCGTTTGTCTTGTTTGCAAATCATTATCTCCCTCTAGTGATAAAGATAAGCAATTACATCTCCCTCTGAGCTTTGAGCTACAATAAAGGTTCATTGTATTGGGACAATAGAGTATCAGTTTCATTTTGGATCTACATATCACTGTCACTCTGTAAAGACTCACCTCTCTTTCTCCTCTTGTGTGTTGTATTTATTGCTGATGGTGTCCAGGCGGAGGAGGAGAGAGGCGACATGGAGAAAGTGAAGCTGGATAACAAGAGAATCCTGTTCAATCTGCTGCCGGCTCATGTGGCTCAGCACTTCCTCATGTCAAACCCCAGGAACATGGTGAGCATCAACAGACATGTCCAGGCTCGTCCTACAAGCATTATCAGTGTAAAGGGAGTTAAGACCTCTCAAACCAGCAAACACTTTCCAGTGTTTCCTGACGCACCTGGGAGGAGCTGGTGTAGTGATTTACAGGTCAAAAGACACCCAGACATCTGGGTTAAAAGTCAGCTGAATTTGGCTGAAAGGTGTTCTTTAGATGTCAAGGTCAGTAGTTCCCTACATGGACACAGGTTTACTGGTGACCCTTTGGCCCTGTTTACATCTGGTATTACCATGTGTCCTGGATGATTGGATCGCAAGTGGACAGCGTTATCTACAGGTGTTAAAGCATCCGATGTGTCCTCAATGCGTCCTGAGATCTGATCGCTCAGACAAAATTTGGACATGGTCTGGGCCCCATATGGCCACATTTCCAGCAGTGTGCATGGTAATGTGTCCTGGGCCACATTAAAGGATGCCCTCTGCAGTGTCAATTCATTGACAAAAACTATGATAAAAAGTTTTTTGTCATCAAACTCTTTTCCATGACGAAAACGAGACAATAGCTATGTTTCCATCCAAAAGTGATTTGAATCATTGGGAAATGCGCATTAAAAGAAATACGAATCCTGTGTGTTTCCATTAAATGTACAGACTACGAGAAAACTACGAACTTGAGCGAGTTTTCCACAGAACCGGAAACAAAACAAGTCTCGCATTCTTCTTCTTCTACGTTTTCTGGCGGTTGGCAACCAGCTTGTAAATGCATTACCGTTTCCCGACCCGGAGTGTGGATATCACCATGGAGAGAGGTGCGCTACGTCAGACTTAATTCGAACATAACTGTTTCCATCCCCCGTTTTGCGAATCAACATTTTTTTTCGAATCAACCAAAACCCGGCTAAAGCAAGCGTATATTAGTTTGTTCAAATTTAATTTGAATTTTGGCGTTTCCATCATAATTTTCCGATGTGATACTTCTAGATGCACATCTAAACAGGCTGATGGAAACATGGCTAATGACAAGCTAAAAATAGACCTTGAAAATAAAAAACTAACATGAAACATATGTTTCATTTTTGTTGACGAGACCAGACGTGACGTAATGAAAATGTTAGTGGTGGACTATTGCACCTTGAAAGCCGAGAACAGCCGTGGTAGCAATTATCTTCAAATGGCGCATGAGTGACAGGCTGGCAAACTCCATTAAATAGTCAGCACCAGGATATTTCACAAACACTCACACCAGAGCAGCGTCAGCTGTTGTTGCGAGTTATGAGCTGTAATTCAGCAGTAAATAATCAGCCATGTGTGTCTGACTGTGAATGGTAGAGCTGCTGAATGGATTTGAGGAGTTTGTTAGTTACAATGGTGGCTGTTAGCAGTTAGCTCCACTTGTGAGCTGCTAAATGGCAGCGGAGCAAGGAGTCACCAGACTTCATAACTGTTGATCCCCGCAGGACTCCCCTCAGATCTGGACTACCTGGGGAAGGTTTATGATTTGATGCTGTCTGACAGGCAGGTAGGCTCAGTTATCTGTGAGTGTAGCTGTGCTGTAAGTTAACAGTCTGAACTCAGATCAGTTTTCACCGACAGAGAGAAAAATTTAGTTTTTTTTTAGTTTTTTTAGTTTACTCTGTGAGACATGAATTTAAACTTCCAGACTTAGACGTTGAATAAGTTATTGTTAAAGGACTTGCACTTGTGTTGCCCCTCTCTAGTCTTCTGACCACTTAGAACACTTTCATACTATGTCACATTCATTCATTCACACACACACACACACACACACACACACACAGTTTGGAGCTCAGTATCTTGCCTAAGGATACTTTGCTGTGCAGGGATCAAACCGCCGATCCTCCCATTAGGGGACGATCCACTCTAACTCCTGAGCCACAGCTGCCCCAGAGTTATCCGCCTGTGATCGGATCAGCCAAGACGCATGTTAAAAGGTGTTAACAGGATCTGTGTTACAGGATGTATGTCTGAGGTGTGAGCAGTTTAATCAAAGAGTTATTTTTCCATTTCAGATTGTTTCATTTGAATGGCTTTTACTAACCAGGAAAGATAAAAAATATAAAGATTAGGGAAAAGTCTGAAAAATAAACAGAATCTTGCATCTTACTCTTGTATTCCTCCCATGTAGCCTTCCCTTAAAGTCATCTTCAGTCCCACTGGAAGATCCTGATCACACATAGAAACTGTTTTAGGTTATGTATCCTACCATTGTTCCAACAGCATTTAAATGACTATATTACACTTAATAGCAAGCTCTAACTACATACTAAAACAAGCAATCTACTTCTGTTGTTTTAACGTGTTTTATTACCAACAGGGCCTCTAGTTTTAGAGCTATAAGCTGTCCATGATGACACAACATTGTGTGCGTGCACACAAACACAGCCTGATTTAAGAGAAACATATTATAAACTCACTGTTAAGTAGCTGCAAGAAAATGCACGTCTACTATATGATAAATTAAAAGGGAAATTTCGGTTTATTTCAACCCGTCTCCTATCGTCCTAAATTTGGTTCAAGTGACTAGTGACATATATATAATAGTTAGCATGTTAGCCGTTAGCCCAGATACAGCCGTAGCGTCAGACCTGTTAAAACGTAAGTGAACGGGCATCCCTTCAAGTGCAAAGTTAGTCCACTAAACAAGCTTTTTTTTTCCACAAAGACCGCCTCATATCGTTAGGATAAATGTCAGAGAACATATAGAAAACGACATGTAAACGTGTTGTCTTACCTTACGGGTGTGCTGCCATGTTTGTTTATCATNNNNTTTCCAAAGCGCAGCCGAAATATATCTCGCCAGCTCTAGATAAAGCCCAGCTGGATACTAACGTTACTCCAGGTGGAGGTGTCTTGTCCTTGGTCACATCCAGACCTTGAAAATAAGGCTGCAACCGCTCCCATTCCTTGCAACAGAGGCATTCCTCTTCTGTGGGCACTGGAGCACAGCATTCACAGGTACACCACCAATCTCCAGAGCTACGCAGCCTTGCAGCACCCATTCCTCCTCTCTCGTCCTCTAACGTTACCTGTTGCGCCTCTCTCTCTCCTCCTCCTCCTCCGTTCAGGCGACCCTCCGGTTCTGCCTTCCCGCTGTTGCTGCTTGTTCAGGCACGCTATGAGATCTCTGCTTGTTCTCGCGATATTTCCGCCCGCTTTGGAAATCAGAGCTAAATGGTAAACAAACATGGCAGCACACCGGTAAGGTAAGACAACACGTTTACATGTCGTTTTCTATATGTTCTCTGACATTTATCCTAACGATATGAGGCGGTCTTTGTGGAAAAAAAAGCTTGTTTAGTGGACTAACTTTGCACTTGAAGGGATGCCCGTTCACTTACATTTTAACAGGTCTGACGCTACGGCTGTATCTAGGCTAACGGCTAACATGCTAACTATTATCTGTATGTCACTAGTCACTTGAACCAAATTTAGGACGATAGGAGACGGGTTGAAATAAACTTAAATTTCCCTTCAACAAACTGAACCCTCCCAGATAACACAGGAATATTATACAGGGCCTGATAAAGGTACTTTGCCAGTTCTCCAGACTGTTATTATTTTTCTCAGTACTTACCCACTCCATTTTTAACACAGTTGTGCTGAACAACATAATACTGTACATCTCCTGCTGTCTTAATGAAACATATTGTATTGAGTGTAATCAATAACAAACTTCTCATTTAGATTTATTATTTTGATGTACACAGAACTGGATTTGGTGAAATAACCCCCGTAATGAAATGAGATGGAGCAAGTGTTTCCTCCCAGTAGCTGGGGGTAAAATTTAGTTTGTGTAGCTCTCAGGGGTGAAAGTTCTGCACACAGTAATGAAGTGCATGATATCAGTAGCTGAGATGGCAGTTACAGGGACAACCAATGCAGATCATTATTTTTAATTAGTCCCACCTTTTCAGTCTCATCACTGCTCGCTTTGCACATACTGCCACTGTTCTTAAAACCAGTTTATACTGCCAGATCATACTGCTGTTAAACTTGAGGCCTAGATGTTTTGAAATGTCTCACTTTTCAGCCAAATTTAGCCGCTAGCAGTTTGACCAATGTATCAAGATGCCTCTTGACCCATAAATGACCAAATTAGTGCTTATTGGCTGGTGTGAAATCTAAACTTGCCATCTTGTGAACTTAATTTCAAGCTGGTAATCAGCTGAAGGAATATATTCTGCTGATTAGAACATGAGCAGGTTACTGGCTTCATGTTTAGTTTCCCCATTACAAAACAAAACAAAAAAAAGTCTTGTGTGCCCTCAAAGTGTCGGGGGCTTAACGTGGAAAAATATCCCAGCTGTTGAGGACAATGGCACAGCTTGACCTGACCATGTGTTGCGGTGGTAGAGTGGAAGTGTGAGCTGACAGCCCTGTGAGTCTGTCTCCACTGATTGATGAACATCCCCTCCACTGATCTCTGTTCCTTCCTCAGCCCCCTCCTCCCTCTCTCAGGAAGTGATGAAAACATACATCCTTTCAGGAAATTCATAGCCCCTCAAGAGGACAAGTTTGGTTTGTAAACACTAAAGCTGTGTCCGAATTCTTATGCTACATATTTATTGTATTATAACATTTTTGTCAATTATTTACAATTTTTGTCCCTATTTCGCATGTAAAACTTCTGATTGCAGGGGCGTAATTTATGGCAGACACAGGAGACATGTCCTCTGCACTTTTTCAGATGGCAGTATTGGATCCTTCTACTTCTTATGCCGGATTTCCACTGGATGCGTGTCCGTTGCGGAACGGCAGCACTGGTTATCCGCTGCATGCTCTGCCGTCCGTCAATACCTACCGGCTGCGTTTGCTGTGCGGTGCGGTGCAGCTCCGTCGGAAGACATCTCGGTGCACTGCCATGATTAATATCTCCTCGTCCATGGTGTTCACGGGGTGAAATGACGTCTGAAAACCTCTGACCTGTTGACTTCAGGCCTGCCTCTGCCCATTATGTAGTTTTTAAGGTGTAGTGCAGGGAAATATGATCCGCC